GCTAAATTATAAATCATGATCCTAGAGACTGAGAATTAGAGGGTACGAAGAAATATCACCCCAAAGCATATACTTAATCACCGTACTTCACATGGAGTTATGTCAAAATTATTTAAATTATGTTAGCTTGGTAGAGTTTCCAGGCCTTATGACCTTTTATATGACATTTTCATCTTTGTCTCCTAGATGGAGAATGAATAACGGTGATGTTGATCTGACGAGTGATCGATACAGTATGGTGGGAGGAAACCTTGTGATCAACAACCCTGACAAACAGAAAGATGCCGGAATATACTACTGCCTAGCATCAAACAACTACGGAATGGTCAGAAGTACCGAAGCAACCCTGAGCTTTGGATGTAAGTAACTGTCAGTCTTTGCATCTCTCGCAAAGTGGGTTAGAGAGTGAAAAGTATGTTGAAAAGTTCTAAGTGATCATGACTACCAGGAGGAGGGAGATAGTCAGGAAGAACAGTAAGATTAAATTAGTGAGGTCAAAGTAAAAATGTAAATAAGATACACTAACCTTGGAGAGAGAAGTAACAGACCACCTTACACTGAAGGAAAGAAGATAATGAATATATTTTTCAAGGAAAGTTAGTCAAAGGGCAGAAACATTCTGCTCTCATTCAAAATAGAATGGGAACAAGAAAAACCAATTTCAAGGATGGAAGGCAGCGTTTAAATGGCTCTTCACATTCAGACGCTACGGTGATATTAAGCTATCCAAGCTGAAATGTCAAGTAAGCAATTGAGACTAGGGAGGTATTCAAGTGAGATATTAGGACCAGAGACATACATTTGAAGGGTCCTCTGCCAAGAGGTGGCAATTGGAATAGATGGCTTTTCAAAAGTCTAAAATCTGTTGAGAGAAGTTAAAATCACATAGGTATTTTAATTCGGGTACAGGAACAGGAATGACAAGACTGAGGCTGAATGAATATCAGTATCAGGAATGATAAATCAAAAATTAGAGTTTGAATGAACCCCAAACTGTGAGTTCTAAACACATAGAAAAGAGTAAAGGAAATTAGAATGAGGCAAACCCAGAATTTGAAGGAGTGCTTTTAGATTTATTTCCTTCTAATATCCATGTCCTCCCTCAGGAAGGAAAATAAGCCCATCAAGGGAGTCTGTTTTTCTGTGTCATTTCCTCTTTACTTCTGCTCTTTGGTAGACTCTGGGTTTTGTCTTATCCTGTAATATTTCCAGATACACTTACCGAGATTTTCGCTAAATCTGAAATGAAAGTCTGTAGGACATTTGTAATCTTCCACGATTGTCAGCCTTCTTACACAGGCTGCTACTAATATCTCTAGGCTCAGAGCTCATCACAGACCTTTTGATACTGTGTGCAAACCCAGCGTGTAAAAACAAGGAGTTGACTTGCCTAGACGCCACCAAACCAACGGAGAGGTACTGTATCTCCGAAGTGAATTAGATGATGTAAGGTAAAATGCAACCAAATGTCTTTCTATTGGCCAAGAGGAAATGTCCTTCTTTTCTTCTATAACTAGATCTGGACCCTTTCCCACCTGAGGAACGGCCCGAGGTCAGAGTAAAAGAAGGGAAAGGAATGGTGCTTCTCTGTGACCCTCCCTACCATTTTCCAGGTAAGCTTAGTTCCTCTGTGACCATAAGCAAAATAAGGACCACATAAGGTGTGTGGAAGCTTAAAACCTTTAAGCCAGAGTCAATTGCATTTTTTATTTCAATAAAGACACATGTGTTGACATGAGGGAAAAAAAAGAAAAAAAACTAAACTGGTTTTAAGTGAGTCCAACATACATCATTAATCGCAAAATAAAAACTGAGAAACTCTCCTCTCCTTTCCCCAGTTTATTAGCAGCTTTATGATATAAATATTAGATGTGTTAACCTCATGCTACAAATGTCAGGACAGTTGCTTCAAAACAATAAAGCGAGTATGTTTCTGTGTGTGTACATGCACTATTTACCATCTCCATGACATAAATCCTCCTACCCCCTTAATGCTGGAAAATAAAGGTGTTATGTATGCTTTGCATCTTAGAATGTCATTGAGTCGAAGATGCAAAGGAATCTGTCTCTAGATTCTGAACTTCTAAGAATATTATGTATGCGACTCTTTGTGGTTGACAAACCCTACTCGATGGCAATCCATGATTTGTGATTTGCAATTCAGCCCTTACTATGTCAAGTAATTTAGACATATCTACGTCTTAATTTCCCCCTTTGAAATTTGGGGATAATAACTTCTGTGCCACCTATGGAGAGCATCATAGAGATCGTTATGAGCTTTAAATGTAATCATGTTTTGAAAATGGTAAAAGGTGTATGTAATTTTAATAGATTATTATTATTTTTAAGAGACTTTTTGTTAATAGGACACATGTACTTGCCAGAGAGTCAGACAGAGAGACAAAAAGCGAGAAATCACCTCCAGGAGGGATGGCCACTCCACACTCCCTTATCCCCCAGTCTCCTCTCAGGATTTTGGGCACACACACACACATGCGCCTGGCATGAGTTTGAAGTCACTGAGTCTGGGACTCGAACTGCACTCGACTCTGCAGGAGTCCAACAGCATAACCATTATACCATCTGCTAGTCCCTCAATAGATTATTAATAAACTAAAACATTACCTCAGTTCATTCAATGTTATGGATCTATTATTATTATTTAATATATCTTACTGCATGATTTTCAGGCCAAGTTGCAGAGACATTATCTCTCTTATTTACTTACAGGAAAAATAACCAGAAGGAAATATCTCATTTTTCACAACTGATTACATTTTTCTCTGAAATTTTTTTTCTTTTCTCTCTCTCTCTTTTTTTTTGGGGGGGGGTGAGGCTTATGCTATAGGGTGTGTGTGCTCATCAGAAGGAGAAAGACACAGAGAGTCAGAAAGCAAGAGATCATCCCCCTGGGGGATGGACTCACCACAATCCCTTCTCCTCCATGTGCCTCTCAAGATCTTGGGCACACACACACACACCTGGCATGAATTTAAGACACTGGGTCCAGGACTTGAACCATAGTTGACTACATGGGAGTCCAGCACGATAGCCATTATGCCATCTGTTGGTTCCTCTCTGGATTTTGATGCTCTATAGTTTCTTGCAAAAAGGAAAATTCTGACTTGAACTACTTATTTGAAAAGAGCGACCATACATATATACTACAGTATAAATACTTACTCAATTTGATAATGATAATTGGTATACAACTGATTGCCTAATATCTAGCACAATGTAAGTGCTCAATTCATATCTGAAAAATGAGAGAATGAAAGAGTAAATAAAATGATTGAGTTAGGGATTACATTTAATAAAAAGGTAAACATACTTGTTTAGATTTTGTTTCATTACAATGGAATAAATCATGAATGCATGACTGTTTAAACTTCTTAGCTCCTGGTGCCTGCAGGTAGCGTGGTGGTTAAAGTGGCTGGACTTCCACATGTCTGACCATGGTTCCAATCCTGGACCTGGCTTGTTTTTTCACTTTCCTTCTCTCTTTGTCTCTCTCTGGTCAACTTCAAAAAAATAAAATAAAATAATGACAATAAATAAAATTAAACAATTCTTTAAAAAAATTTTAAAAGTCTTAGCTCTCTCAAGTATGAAAGCCTAAATTTATTGCCAGCTAATTTTTCATAATATAAGCATCAAAAATTGACTTATTGCATCTCACAAAATATATCTGTATTCTGTGAAAGAAAGGAAGGGGACAAAAAGTCTCATCATTTGAAGTGGGTACCATTGACAAAATAGAAAATGCCTAACATAGACGCACATATGAATTAAAGTCTGGCTAAGAAAGTGGGATTACCCTTATGACAAATAACTCTTGATATATTAAATATGACTATAAACAAATTCAGATAGACTAAAAGACCAACACAAAAATAGATGTGAATGGAAGAGTAAAGAATATTTTAGCTAACGATATAACTTGGTACACATTTCTTTCTAAGTATGTTCAGCATATAGTTTGGTACATCAAAGCACTGATTAGAAGCTCTGATGATTTTACTAGTAAAGGTAAAGTTGTCTGTTCAGGCTAATTTTTAAGAGGCATGAAAGTTTAACATGTTTGCATGTTATTCCTCCAGGGCACACTAAGTACTTCAAGGGCACTTTAAGGAGAAGGACATAGCAAGGCTGGATAGCTGTTGTCATTCAAATACAATGAAACCTGTCAAATGCACTGTAGTTGACCAAAACCAATTTCTCCTGAAATACGTATGATCCAGACTCCCCTGGGGCAAAGAAGTCTCATATATCTATTAATAAAAACAAAGTTTCTTAAACATGTGCTGGCACTTACCCTTCCTGAAAAATTAATTTTATAGGGGCCACAGGTGGCGTGGTGGATAAGGGCGCTGGATTCCCACAAGGCCAACCACGGTTCGAGTCTCAGACCTGGTGGCTTGCTTTCTTACTTTCCCTCTCTCACTCTCTTTCTCTGTGTATTTCTGGTCAAATTAAAAATAGATAAATAAAATGAATGAATAAGTAAAATTAAACAAATAATTATTTAAAAAAATAATTTTATAGTAATTTATTATTGAGTCCAGGCTACAGTGCTGGAGCAACACAGGGCTGCCTTTCTCAATGATGGTTGCTTGTATCATTGGCATAAAGCAAAGCGAAGAAGTTAATTCATTGAGTCCTTGAGAGAACTGGGTCAGACCTTAGCTTTTGATTGCCAAAATTAAGTCTCATCCTTAGGTCAGAGAGGCAAGGTGCTATCCTCCTAGTCATAGTACAGTTTACTTTGGTGAGGGTGGAGTGGGGAGGGAGGTTAGAACATCAGTCCTGCCTCCCTATTAAATGAATAAAATGAAAGACAGAGGCTGGAGAGTAAGGGAGTCTGTGTCTGTAACCTATTACAGGGATACAGTCAGCGAGTACCATCTGACTGTCTCGAAAAGCTCAGCGTGTTCTCAGTATTTGTAGGTACGAGATACAAACACAGGCAAATCATTGCTTACTACAACCAGAGCCAATCATTTCTTCCTGAGTAATGAACCAATTCCTTCAATACCCATTCCTGACTTCTCATTTGACCATTCCTCCTTATGACTCAGCACTTGGTCAGATTGTTCTCATTAGAGGCCTTTCTCAATTTCAATATGGCTGCGGTCCTGCTGGTCTGCTTCACTTGTTGCTGTATGACTGACGGCAAGTCACTTAATCTAGCTAGACCTTGGCACTCTCATTTAAAAATGGTAGTAGCAATTCCCACCTTTGTTGTAATGATGATTGGTAGCTTCTAACACATTGCAATTATTGTTATTTTGTCCAAACAAATGGAGCACTGGAAAATGTCTAAAATTTTACAGAAACCAAGTAATCGAATGACTAAATAGCTTGATAAAGCTTATATCTAGAATTAAAAGCCAGGTCTCCAAATTCATACAACTTGTTTTATCCAGACTACTTTGTGGTTGGTATCTTTAAAATATTGTGTGGGGCTGTCCCCATAGCCTAGTGGTTAAGGGAACTGGCTCCCTTAATCTTTAAACCATGTGGTTTGAATCTCAACACTGATGATTTGAAAAACATGCCAAGCCAAAAATCCTGACAGGATGGAGAAATGGAGAGGGGATTGTGGCATGACCAGGCCCAACCAAAGAATGCTCTTTCTCTCTCTCTCTCTCTGGCAAGTATATGTACCCTTTGGCAATTAAAAAAAAACTGTATAATTACAAAATTTCTTTTTTTAAGGACATGCCCATACATCTCTAACTTTTTTGTTTTGTTTTCAATTTGTTATAAGAAATCATGGCAAAACATTGATTTTTATCTGAAATGAGAATAGGAAAGAGTATTTTCAAATCAGGAAAGTTCAGTCCTCTAAAATTGGCTGTAGCTATTGGGTTGTCCATAAAGTCAAGAGATGTTTTTGCATAGAAAAATATGACAGTTCTGACAACCTAATATCAGTTTGAATTAAAGACTACATGATATTTATTTCTGAATATGATACTTCCTACCTGATCCAAGAAAGTCATCATTTCAGAAACTTAAATAATTCCTTAAATTTCTTCCTACCCTAATTCCTTTGTGACCATAATTCAGCAGTAAGATAACAAATCGAAATAATTTAGTCTTTCACAGATATACATGTCTAGAAATACATATATTATCAATAACCCTGAGCTCAAGGATGATTGTCATGGTTAAACTTTCTTCCTCTTTTTACCTCTGTATTTTCTATTTTTTTTCCAAGAATGAACATACATTGCTTGTATAATAAAGAATCAAAATTAAAAACCAAAATAATGTAATTACCTTCACTGTCTTTCCTGATGGCATATATTCCTGAGGAAAACTAATAGCTAATCTGAATATTATAGTTGGAGCGTTATTTCCAGCCATGGGAAGCTTATGTAGTATGTGTTTCTTTTGGTTTTTCATAGTTGGTGCTTCCACACTTTCTTCGGCAGCTTTAGCCTGTCATGTTGAGTTCACCAGAGCAAAGCGATGGTTTGGCACGATTACTTTGTTCTTAAAGGATGCCTGAGTGTTGTGACATCTTGACTTTTCACTATTTTACATCTAATATTCTATCTAACCTGATCTAGAGAGATTCTCATCCACATTCTTTCTAGAAATTTTCTTCATGTGTCAAGTTATTTTAAAAGGAACCATTAAGTCCTAGAAGTCTGCATTGCCCATAGTTTCATCTTGCATGTTTGTTGAATGACTACTGGGAAGGAGAGGTATACATAGAAAACTATAGAAAAAAAATTCACTGAATTAAGGAGAAAATTCAATTTGGGTCTCTACTAGCTAGTGTGTTTAACCTGAGGAACTTCCTGTGCTTAACAGCCACCATATGATACATCCCTAATGTTTCAGAAAACCAGAAAAATCTTTTCTCTCTTTCTGTGGTTTTCACTTTGTAATGTAACCACAACAGGTTATGCAAATTTATTTCTAAATCTATAATTTAAAATAGAACTACCCAAAGGAAAAAGATACAACCACAGAATGGTAAGTCATCTTGATTTTACTTGTATAATACAGTAGGTCAGATTGATCGTGGGCTTTGAAGACATTAGACCTGGATTCAGAATTTCCATTCTACTTAATGGTCATGAAATTTTAAGTTTATTTAACTTCTCTGCATTTCACTTAACCTAGCAATGAAATGGCAGTAAGGCCAGGAATAGTTCATGACAAAATAGAGAAAAGTAAACATATGTAATTGCTTTATATGATGCTCATAGTCACACAAACTGTGGTAGATGTTAGAAACTTTAAATTTGTCTCGGTTTTCATGCAATATTTTCTGTACAATAGCCTCTATTAGAATATACAATTGCTTGTTACTAAAAACCAAAATCATTACTTCTGGAGAAGCCCTTAATATTTAGTAGGCAATATTTTCTTCTAGATGATCTTAGCTACCGCTGGCTTCTAAATGAATTCCCTGTATTTATCACAATGGATAAACGAAGATTTGTGTCTCAGACAAATGGCAACCTCTACATTGCAAATGTTGAGTCTTCTGACAAAGGCAATTATTCCTGCTTTGTTTCCAGTCCTTCTATTACAAAGAGTGTGTTCAGCAAATTCATTCCACTCATTCCTATACCTGAACGTAAGTATTTTATTTGTTATACTTTGTTTTTGCAAGGTTGTCTGCTTATGGTGTACTTCCAGGAATGAGAGAAAATATCCAGTGGAGAGACCAACTAGCCTTCCAGGCAGGACAGAACAGAAGACACATGTTTTGACAAAAGCCATGTTCCTTAGCTTTTAGGTTGAGAAAAGTCATCTAATGAAATTACCCTGAAATGGTCATGTTGCCTCTATCTCAGGAAATAGTCAGGAGACTGATTCATTAGTTAAATACTAGCAAGTTGGCTAGAGCGGGAATCACTAGCATCTGCTTTTTGTTTCATGACAAATAGTAAATTGAAGAAACCAAATAATTACATCAAAACAAACAATAGTAATTGCAAAATTGGGGGAAAATGTTTGGTTATCTTAATATTATTAAGAAATTGTTGGAGCCAGATGATGTCATGGTGATTAAGGCATATGGCTGACCATGGTTTGAGTCCTGGACCTGGCAGCTTTCTCTCTCTCTCTCTCTCTCTCTCTTTTGCTCACTGTCTTTCTCTGGTGAGCACATGAGCCCTATAACAAATAAAGAAAAAATAAATAATTAAATTTAATAATTCTTAAAAAAAAAAGAAACTAATTCTACGTAGAAACAGGTGAACGGTATTGCTTTTTTTAAAAAAAATTCTAAGTTATTATGTAAAGTGCTTCTACTGTGCACCATGTTGGATGATGTCCAAGGTGCTGACTAGCCTTTTCCCCAGGCTCCAACTAAACTAATTCTTTTTTAAAAATGCACTGAGATTCAGCAGATGGCTTGGTGCTATAGGTGCTGGATTCCACATACCCAGCGGCACAAATTGAGTCCTGGACCCAGCTACTTGAAAATCACACCAGGCACATGTGTGTGTGCATGGGCACGCTCACGCACCCAAAATCCTTAGAGGAGAATGGAGGAAAAGGGATTATGGCATGGTTATCCCCCTTGAGGGTAATTTCTCACTTTCTCTCTCTCTCTCTACTCTGTCTCTCTCTCTGGCAAGTGTGTGTGCCCTATACCAAAAGGACTACATAGAGAAGAGAGAGAGAGAGAAGGAATGAAGGAAGGAAGGAAGGAAGGAAGGAAGGAAGGAAGGAAGGAAGGAGGGAAGGATGGAGAGAGAGAAAGCAAGCTAGCAATCATTGCTGGGTCAGCCTGTGTTACGCTGGTTAAGGCATCTGGATCCCACATCATCTACTCTGTGGTTCAAGTCCCAGACACATTGGCTTAAGAAACCTTGAGAAACACTCTAGGCACATGTGTGTGCATGCCCCAAAGTGGAAGAAATGGAAGAGAAGGAATTGCAGTATGACCATTTCCCATGAAGGGTGATTTTTCAACTTCCCTCTCTGTCTCTGGCAAGTGCACATGCCCTCTGGCAAATTATTTTTAAAAAGATGGAAATCTAAAAATGCACTGCTGCTTAGAATCAGATCACAATATGCTCACTTACTGCACATTATTTTTATCCTAGTCCTGCTGCAACATTAATGTCAGGAATACAAGTTTCTCAGGAAATATCATGTTTAGAGTCAACACACTTGGGTTTGGTTCTTGTCTCTACTCTAAATAAAGTGGGACAGTGGGGAAAATGCCATAATGCAACTGAGAGCCCATTTTTCCCTTTCTCTCTGCTAGGCAACAGTCACATAATGGGCATTTAGTAAATATGACTGACTTTCTGCTCACCTATCTCTCCTCACTCTCAGAGGCTACTCTAACCTCCTACTTCAGAGTGGAAAGGAACCACCATGCAAAAAATTCCCTTGATTTTCTTTCACTGCAGTTCTAATCCTATAGAAATCACTGTGTTTTTAAAAGATCTATTATGCTTAATAATCACTAGATGTTTATGTTTCTCCTAATATAAGGAACAACGAAACCATATCCTGCTGATATCATAGTTCAGTTCAAGGACATATATACATTGATGGGCCAGAATGTGACTTTAGAGTGCTTCGCTCTTGGAAAGTAAGTATTCTTATACTTTTCATTAGCATACATACAAATGCATTAATTTTTGCACCATTTTAGGAAACATATGATGTAAATGTTTAGCTCTTTTATCTTCCATTTAAAGTCCTGTTCCTGATATTCGATGGCGGAAGGTTCTAGAACCAATGCCAAGCACTGCTGAGATCAGCACCTCTGGGGCTGTCCTGAAGATTTTCAATATTCAGCTAGAAGATGAAGGCCTGTATGAATGTGAGGCTGAGAACATTAAAGGAAAGGATAAGCATCAGGCAAGAATTTATGTTCAAGGTATACATGTTTTAATTTTCCATAAATTTAATCAGTATTTTATTTAGAGCCTTCTGTGGTCTGAATGTATCCTCCTAAAATTCATGCATTAAAATTTGGTGAGCCATTGTAATGAGATTAAGAGGATGAGAACATAATCTGACTATGGTGTTTGAAGAGGGGATCTTTGAAAAGAGAGGAGGATTAAGGTCATTAGGACAGAGTCCTTGTCATCGACTCCCGGTACGTTTATAAGGAGAAGGAGTGAGACCACAGCCGAGACACACAGGCACAGACGTGCATTCCAGCTTGCTCTGCGTTGCTATGTGACCTACCAGGAAGAAGACCTCACCAATGTGGTCCCTGGGCCATGGTCCACAATGAACCTCTATTCTTATAGATCGTCCAGTTCCAAGTGTTTTCCGTTATTAGGAACAGAACACACTAGAACAGAGCCATTTCCATTATCGAAAAACTACTATATAATGATGAATAGTTTTGAAAGTAGTAAAGCATATTATATTCTGTAGGAAGATGAAATATGTATCCTATGTCTAATTAAGTCACAGCTATGGGTCATAAAAGTTGTTAATTTATACCATTGTTATCATAGTAACAATCGATTGATAGTAATCTTAGTAGTTTTCAGAATAAACAGTTAATGTAGCTTGTTTATTCCCTTTATCATTTTCTTTTCTCAATACCTTTTTACTTACAGAAGAACCTATGGGTTATGACTCATTTAAGGCAGTGTTTTGAAAAATTTAGCATGCATCGAAAAATACCTGGAGGGCCTGTTAAAACACAGATTGCTGGACTCCACCCTCAGAATTTTTAATTCATAAGACCTACTGGGGGCTCATGAATTTGTATTTCAAGTTCCCAGGAGAAATTGACAAGTTCCCAGGGAATACTGACACCATTGATCTTGGAACTACGTTTTGAGAATGCTGGTCTAATGAATCATTTTTCTCTGACAAAATTATTTTGCCACAAGTCTGTAAATTCTCATACACTAAAATAAACTTATGTCTAAAAAGATAGTTTTATTCCCCTGAACATTTGAACCGTTTTTAGATGATATCATCTCTGTAATGTTGCACAATGTGAAATTTGATGGTCATAACTTAATAAATTTGTAAGTTTTGAACAAGATTTTTTTTTCGTTCTCTCTCTCTCTCTCTCTCTCTCTCTTCGTATAGGGTTTGTGTACTTGCTGGAGAAAGCAAAAAAGAGAGAAAGAAAGTTAGAAATCACCCCCCAACACCCCAACACACCCCAGGGCACAACCATTCTTCAATCCCTTCTCTGTTCTCCTCTCAGTAACCTGGACATGCATGCACTGGGCCTGGTGTGAACTTTCAAGCTGCTGGGTCTAGGACTAAAATCATACAATCAGCCATGTGGAATGTTGTCACCCTAAGCCCCGTGCCACCTGCTGGTCCAGGGTTATTCATGTTTAACTCTAACTATTGCTCCATTTCTCTTCTTCCTGTCACTCTCAAAAAGTAATAAAAATCTTGACAGATCATCTATACTCTCTTAAAATCTTGCTCCATCTCGTTTTTCCTCTCTCTTCAGTGTAATGCAATTTAACTTTCACCTCACATTTCCACCACAATCTTTCTTTCATATCACCAGCAACTTCCATCTTGCTCAAACTGATCATCAGTTCCCTGTATCTCACCTGATCTAAGAGACAGCTGTGGAGAGTTGATGCCTTCTTCCTCCGTGATTCACGTTCTATACTTGGCATCTTGAGTCCACATTTAAAAATTTTTCCTGTCCTTTGCTGTCTCCTCCTACCTTCGTGCCTTTCTAACACTGGCACGATCCGAGTTTGGCCTTTAAACTTCACTATTTCTGTCATCCCCTTTATGATCTCATTCATAAACACGCTCTCTGCCCTGAAAGCTCTGTCCCAGACAGTTCCCTGAACTTCAGCCTTGTCTGTCTAATGCCCTGATAACGCTAACTTGATACAATCACATATACGTGGAGTGGGTTCCTGAGTGAAGAAAATTATGGTGAGACCTCTTAAATTTTGAAATAAAGCTACCACTTTCTAAAGCTGATAGATATGGTTCTACTCAACACACTAAAGACATTCTGCTTTTTCAGTCAAGTTTAATTTTAAACTAATATTTAATGACTCTAAAGAATCAAGGTGACAGAGCATGTGTTTGTAGGAGACAATTTAAAAGAACTATTATTTCTCCTAACTAATGAAGTATATTAAGTTCTAGCTGTAGGTCTAATCAAGCCAGACAGAAGGTTCCATGATTGAACTATATTCATAATGTATCAAGTTGTTTCAGTAATGTATTCTTCTCCATGGATGAGAAGAATAAATCTCAGATCATGGTGTCACTCACACAAGGCCAAGGCAGGGAGGTGCCCATATTCCTGCTTTACGTATTGTCAAGATGGCGTACAAAACAAAGCCTCTGTTCATTAGCATTAATAGACCTACCGATACTTAAAGAATAAACTCCAGGGCTGTTCTCATAGTGCAGTGATAAGGCACTGTACATTGGAAGGCGTATATCATGGCTGATCTAGGTTCAAATCCCATCCCAGTGGCTTGAAAAAAACACACACACACTCACACAAACTGACGTATGTGCACTTGTTATTTGTCTTCAAATCCTCTCTGGAAGGAGATATGGAGGAAATAGGATTGTTCCCTTTTGGGAGATACTCTCTGTCTCTCCATCTCTGTCTATGTTTTCTAGTGAGTAGACTTACCCTCTGGCAATTAAAACCTTATCTTCAGGGACCAGCAGATGGCATAATGGTTATGTTGCTGAACTCCCATGTAGTCTATTGTGATTCGAGTGTTGGACTGGCGCTTACACCTCATGCTGGGTGTGTGTGTGGGGGTGATTTCTTACTTTCTGTGTCTACCTGTCTCTCTAGTGAGCACACATGCCCTATAACAAAATCTCTCAAAAAAAAAACTTCATGTGTTTTAGACTTTTTTTTTTGCAAAGAAAAATGTGTCATGATTTTTCCTATGATCCAATATAATAATAAGCAGAAAAGTGTACTAAATCAGATTATAATGCTATGAAACTATGTGCATGAATACACATATGTTGGGATCAGCAGATGGGTGTAATGTTTACGTCACTGGACTCCCACATGGCTGACACTGTTTGGGTACTGGACCTGGAGGTTTCAATTTCTTGCCAGGCATGTTTGCATGTGTGCCCAAAATCCTGTGAGGAGAATAGAGAAAAGATTGTGGTGTGGCCATCTCCAAGGGAGTGGGAGGGGTGATTTCATTTTTTTTTTTTTCTTTTGGAGAGGTTTTCGCTATAGGGTGCGTGAGCTCGCCAGACAGAGAGAGACATAGAGACAGAAAGCAAGAAATCACCCCCCAGGGGGGATGGTCACACCGCAATTCCTTCTCCTCCATTCTCCTCTCGGGATCTTGGGCACCCACGCACACACACCCAGCGTGAGTTCTAAGCCACCGGGTCCGGGATGCGAACCGCGGTCAACTACGTGGGTGTCCAGTGACATAGCCATTACGCTAACCACTGGTTCCCAAAATGATTGTTTATATAACTGGATTGAAACGTAACGTCTTTGGCAAGTGCCTGCATCCCATAGCAAAGTCTCTTTAAATAAATAAATAAAAGTGCATATGTTACCAATACAATGATTTGGTCATAAAAATGTTTTATTTATTTTTAATTATATATATATAATTTTTAAAGAATCAGTTTTTATTCATCTGTATTTATTCATTTTTAATATGACCAAAGAGGACAGAGCTAGAGTGAGGGAGAGAGATAGAGAAAGTGAGAAAGCAAGCCACCAGGTCCAGGATTCGAACTGTGGTGAGTCATGTAGGAGTCCAGCACCCATAGCCACAATGCCACCTGCCAGCCCCAAATTCTCATTTTCAAATAAAATAAAATAAAATAAAGTAAAATAGTGTTCTCCACTCAGGAGCCTCTTCTTCTGCCTCTTTATTTTACATTAATTTATCTACCTGCATCTATTTAAATTATTTAGATAATGGAAATATTCAAATAACTATTAGATGGCTTATTTGCTTGGTCTCTAGAGATTTATTTTTCTTTGGGAAATTTCTAGTATTCTCTCGTTTTCTGAGCATTTTTCTTTAGGACAGATCAAATAATGAGGCTGAGAGCAGTGCCGCTCAAGTAGGGATTTCACAAGTTATAGTGACTGTATGTAATTCTGCTTTGGGAGTGGTATTTAAGTGACAAATTAACTCAGTTTTTAATTCTTCAGTAAGATTTTTACAGTGGCCACTATCTGAAAGGTTTATCAAGGAAATAACAGTGTATATCTGAAAGAGTGGGAAAAATTCTGAATCTTAATTCAAAATGTAAAGAAATGGTGTCCTAGTCAATTGAGACTTAATTCTTGAAAACTTCAGTTGTCATTTTGACAGATTTGCAAAGTTCATGTTCTAAAGGGGAAAAAAATTAATGCTGAGTTAGTTTTATAATTAAATATGGCTTACAAACAAAAAATAATGATTAGAATCATAGTTATCTCACACTGTGATGTAATAGTTATAGTTATCTCACTGTGACGTAATAGTTATCACAGTTATCTCACACTGTGACGTAATAGTTATCATAGTTATCTCACACTGTGACGTAATAGTTATCATAGTTATCTCACACTGTGATGTAATAGTTATCATAGTTATCTCACACTGTAACATCATAGTTATCATAGTTATCTCTCACTGTGACATAATAGTTATCATAGTTATTTCACACTGTGACGTAATAGTTATCTCATACTGTAACGATAGTTATCTCACACTGCAGGATTTGCTTAGGCTATCAACCTATAAAAATAGTATCAATGGCTCTGACACTGATTTGAGAACAGAAACAATATCTGATGTTTTCTCCAGAATAAGGTTAACTAAATATAATGTTATGCTCTTGAGAGTACGTTGGCCGTCAAGACTCACATTTGACATTTATGTTGTTCTTTCTTTCTTAGCATTTCCTGAGTGGGTAGAACATATCAATGACACAGAAGTGGACATAGGCAGTGATCTCTACTGGCCTTGTGTGGCCACAGGGAAGCCCATTCCTACTATCCGATGGCTGAAAAATGGATATGCGGTATGTATGTTCAAGGCCTTGGCTGTTCTTGAGTCCATGTTCAAACAACCTCTCAGGGTGGTCCTGGGATAAATTGAGCAGGAGAGTCAACAGTAAGGGTACTTGGGCCCGAAATAGAAATGCTTCCCTAAGAAAAAGCAAACAAGAAACTAAACATAAAGTGTCTTCTTTCAGTTTAAACAACTTTCTGTAATCTTACTCGACCTTCTCTCTCTCTTCCTCTCGTTCCTTAATTTTTCCTTTGTTCCGCTTTCCCCCCTCTTCCTACTCATCCATCTCCACCACCTGATATTATCCTCTTTTTCTTGCCACTGTTTCCCTGACCCTACAGAAACAGAGGTAAGAATGAAGCTCTAAGTCCTACCTTTAGCCCTGGGACAAGTAGCAGCAGTGGGATGCTTCTCTACCTTCCCACTGTAATCTCCCAACTGGTCCAAGAGGGAAAAAGGTGGACTCTCAGCTCTGTAGGATGAATAGACCAAGAACCTTTGGGCATGGTAAGTGGGTTTTTCTTCCCCATGCCATGAAAATCCCACTCGACTCACCGTAGGTAACAGTGGGGGCAGATGACCATCATGTAGCTAAATGAAAAGCAACTGCACCCAAGCACAGATGAAAGCATTTCTATTAAAGTTTATGGAGAATTTGTGTTTACTTTTATTCTTTTCAGTATCATAAAGGGGAATTGAGGCTGTATGACGTGACATTTGAAAATGCTGGAATGTATCAGTGCATAGCTGAGAACACACACGGTGCCATTTATGCAAATGCTGAGCTGAAGATCTTGGGTCAGTATCATTTCTGATTTCTGCTAAAGATTAATCAAAACACAGCATATCACAGCAGATGAGAGCAGTCATACATCACAATTGATTTCATTTTAGTTTCTCTCATTGCTTATGTTAGAAATAAGGTTTGGAATAACATGATATTTGTTCCTTTTATTAAGGTAGAGAAAATTATTCTTTCAAATTCTCTTATATTGGTTGAAAATTCCACCTGCATAAAACTTCTTACTTCTAAAAATTATATTTTTTAACTAAGAAGCTGATTCTATAATAAGTTGGGGACAACTTGAATTCTAATGGTCTTTAACTTTTTTTTAATTATAAAGGAAAATGTATATGTGCCATCTTTTTAATGTGTTAAATAACCAGTTTTTATTTATTTACCTGTGCATCCCAACATAGTAGGTTGTCAGAAAAGTCATGAAGTTATTTTCATAAGTTTTTCTATGCAAAAATGTATCATGACTTTTCTGATAACCCAATATTTTTCTGCTCTATGACATATCAGTTGCTTGTATTTCCAATTCAGTTTCTCTTTTTATAAATTTGTTTTTTATTTACATTTAATCACTGCACATCTTTACAATGTACAACATGATTGTTCCCAGTGCATATTAGTCAAGTCAAAGACATCACCATGCGCATTACCATCCACAGATGTGCGATTTGCCAGGCTAATCTCATACACCTTGGCAGCCAAACCCACTTGCACCACCGCATAGTAACGAAAACTGATGCTAGAACACTCTGTGTGGTCCAGCCGCAGCTGAGCCTTTAGCACACTGGGACTTTATCAGTTTCCAGCAGCTTATTCAGAACCCTTGGGACCTTCTTCATGGCCCTTACCACACCCAGACTATTGCTTTCATATTGTTTCCGTACTCTTCATGAAAATTGAAACTCTTTGGCATAAAGTATTTCAACTTCTCATCTCTCACTTGAAGCTATCTCTTCTCTACATTTGTCCTTTCAACACTCTTGGTCCAGAGGAGAAACTATCTTTCCTATTATCCCAAAATAAAACAATCCCTTTACTTTTTTCCTTGTGTTCATCCCTTTTTGCTTTCCTGATATCAGGTATCTATCAACAGCTAGTCCTTTGTGTGTGTGTGTGTGTGTGCACGTGTGTGCACATGTGTGGGTATGTGTGCATGTATGTGTGTTCCCTTAAGCTTCCGCTCATTCTAATGCTTAATTCTTGAGCTCTCACCTTTCTTGTTTCCCACTGTTTCTTCCCTGTCTCCTTCCTTGTCTCCTTGTCACTTCTTCCTTTGTGTGGCTAGAAGTACTGCTCTCCCAGAGTTCCATTGCTCTGGTTCCATTTCATTTTCTTCCTTACATGCCCATCCATATTCTATATTATCATTCCTGGATTATTATTTTTTGCTTTTTTTAATCCCTTGTTTATTTCTTATTTTATTAATTATCAGTGATCCTACAACTTGCACCATTGACCCAGATATTTATCTTCAGCTTCAGGCTCAATATAAATGTAAGTGCCCTCTGGAAAACCTCACAGACAACATAAACATAGCAGGTTTTACAGTGAATCTGTTCTCACTCATCCACGCCCACAACTTTTCCTTCTCAAAAATTCTCTGTTCTAAAAATGGCAGAGTCCACTTCATCTCTCTTCTTTATCCATAGTAGTCCCTAAACTTTTCCTGCTTACACCGTAAGTCTCTCACATTTTCCACTTTCTCTTTATCACAAGTACTTGGAGGCCTACTGCATCATGTCCTTGTCACATCATTTGAAGTCGTCGTCACCAGCTTCAGTCATCTTGTAAGTAACAAGTGCAGGTAGTCAGGCTTTCTCTTCTAGACCTAGTTACCAAAACAATAAAGCAATGACAAAATGTATCCTGTTCTCTATTTGCCGCACCAAAAGAAACTACAAAATGCTGGCTTCACTGCAAATTGAGTGACTGACACTAAGAAAATGAGAGAATGGAAGAAAGTCTTTAAAAAGATGATCTATCTCAAAAAGAGTTAAGGCCATCTTAATTTGTGTACACATATGTGCACACTGTTTTAGACATACCCACAAGTGTAAGTGCTTTCACTGTGTCACAATACTCCGGCCTCAGCCTCTCAAGAGGCTGGGCGCTCAGGTGCACGCCATCATGCCCGTCTCTTTCAGACAGGGTCTTGCTGTGTGGTCTGTAAAAGCTCACGATTCTCCTATGGCCATATTGATTTTAACCCACCCTGCCACTTATTATATTGCTGAGGATCGTATTCTGTTTCTTCCTTTCTAGAGTCTAAGTTGGTAATATATTTATTTGAGTTATTTTAGGTAGCATGCAAGCACTGCAAACTCAGACATCTTTGGTACAAAGGAATATGACATCATTCTGACTCTTAAGAAATGAGGTGATTTTTTTTTGTTTGTTTTTACCATAGAGCATGTGCACTCGTTGGGGTTGGGGGCGGGGAGAAAGAGAGAGAGAGAAATCATACCCCAGGGTGATGGCCACCCTGAAATCAATCTCTTATCTCCATTCTAATGAGGTGTTTCTTTTTAACTTCCCAAATGTAAATTTTCTGTTTTCTGCTAAAAGTTTATTTATCTTCATATGTTACAAAAAGAAGTATGAAAGTGCATCGGCTCAGACTAAGGTGCTCTATCTTGTCAAGTCGCAAATCTTCAAATTCCAAGTATTTAACCACTTACTATGTTACTAATATAACAATCAAGCAAACTGAACCTGTGCAGCCTTATCAGATCAATTGTTCCTTGGCATCTTTATATTTACTTCAGTCTTTTCTTCTTTGTTGTGCTTATAAGAACAGTGTATCTTTCTCTTTTTCTTCTCCTGAGTCATCTAGTTAATTTATTTGTTCACCCACCTAGTACATATTGAGATGTAGTAAAAACACAAAAGTGGTAAAAAAAACAAGAGGGAAGAGCTGCATCATAACATCTTTTTCATTTGGGGAAAATTTATTATATTCTTTTTTCCCATTTCCAAAATACATAGGAAACAAAACCTAGTTTAGACTTTGTTGCTAAAAATCTAAATATTCGATAAATATTAAATCACTTAAAGAACCACTCCAAACCAACCACTTTGTTAAAACCTTAACTGATTCAAGAACAATTTTTATTTTCTAGATGAATTTCAGTTATCAAAAGATAATCCTATTAAATTTCCTTTTTTTAAGGAACTGTTTTTTGATCTTTAATTAATTAACTAATTAATTAATTTCAATTTGACCAGAGAGGGACAGAGTGAGTGAGTGAGAGAGAGAGAGAAAATGAAAAAGCAAGCTGCCAGGTCCAGGACTCGATCCACAGTTGGCCCATTGGGAATCTAGCACCCTCAGCCAGCACACCTTCTTTTTATATTTTATACGAAATATATCACCCAAAATGCTCATTGAGCCTACACACAATATTTGGCACCATGTTAGATATATGACACAGGTTCATTGTTACTTATTTATTGTCAGCTATTAAAATTCAGACTAAAGGAACACGTAATAGACTAAATTCTTGCTATAGCACGCGTCTTCCTCAGAGCAACAGCAATAGCAGCGACACCTAGGAGTGTGGTAGAAATGCAGAATCTCAGGCCCACTCATGACCTTCTGAAAGGACATTTTCATAAGATCCTTAAATGATTGTGACAAACAGATAAATTTTGAGAGTCACTGAACTGGACAATGAAAAGCCAAAACCCAGATAAAGATATAGTTAGGCCTGAAATACTCCCAAATGGATGCAGTAACAAATGATTGAAAAGTCTTGAAACAGATAGATGAAAGCCTCTTGGAGTCTACCAGGAGACAAGGGAATTGAGAAGTTGGGCTAGCTGTGGGCACCCGAAGACAGTTAGTACATGTCAATAACGTGGTAACCTTTCTTGAGGTTCTCTCTTGTTTGCAAAATTACCATTCTTTCCTTTGAAGTGAGGATGGAGTACAGGTAGATGGCTCACTCCTTAATGAGTGGGTGAATTCGTGGTTGCCATAGCTGTTTGTGGACAGGTCTTGGAGGCAGGGGTTGCTCTGTGATTTTGGCATCTTGCGGTTGTCTGTATACATTTGGTGCTCAGTAGGTGTGTAATGACAAAGAGATTATATTGTTCAACAAAGAACACGCTTTAGAAACAGAAGGACCTAGATTCAAATTGAATCCCACTTGTTTCTGCCTGTGGCATTTTTGCCAAATTATTTAATCGGAACAGATTTCCATTGTCTCGTTTATCAACTGGAAATAGTTCAAAGTGTAGTTGAGAGGATTAACTATGACCATATGTCAGTGTTTACAGTGTTGCTCAATTCCTTCCAGCCTTTCACTTCCTTTGTGGCTGAGTCAAAACAATTGAATTAAATGTTACTTTTAAGCTAAATGTGTATATAACATTTGACTGGAACTGAAGTTGATACTGATTAATCTACTTATCATTAAGAACTCTACATTTGAATTTTTATATGTAAAAGTTATTCAATGAAAGAAATAAAGGTATTAGGTAAAGAATGCCCATTGGTTGTAGTAGATCATATTCACTGAGATTAATCTCTTATTAACTAGTAATCAAAAGAGAATAAAGGAATGTTTGGGTTTTATTAATGAAAAGAGAAAAATAACCATTTGTTTTCCTTTTAGCTCTGGCTCCAACTTTTGAAATGAATCCTATGAAGAAAAAGATCCTGGCAGCTAAAGGAGGAAGGGTCATAATTGAATGCAAACCTAAGGCCGCCCCTAAACCAAAGTTTTCGTGGAGTAAAGGGACAGAGTGGCTTGTTAATAGTAGCAGGTCAGTTTAGAATCTAGAAATCCCATTGCAATGAACTATTTTGCAAAGTTTATTTTATAGAGAACTTGTTTTCATACTAATAATGTAAATGTTTATTTCAATATTTCTCCACAGAAGATACTGTAGTTCTAAGAAGACAATAAATACTTTTCCATCCCTGTTAGTATTTATTATACTCGGGGTTCAATTTTTAGGGTTCAGTATTTTATGAGGAATTTCAAAAATTGAGGCTGAGTTGTTTTTTTTTTTCTGTTTTCATCAACTGCCAAGATTAAAAAGCTAATAAACAGTGAGAAATGAAGTTGGATTCCTCTAACTTATTTTTCATCTAACCAAGGCATCTATATTCATATGTATTTGATTTAATTGTATGCATTTAGTCTATAAAGATTTTGGTAGAGAAACTTTTAAAAATAATTTCAAAGTATGAATCATCTCTCCCCATCTTCTTAAACAAACATAATGTTCTCATCATCTTCCCAAGAAGCAGATCATCTATCAATGTTTGGGTGGTTTGGGGATAAAGTAAAACAGCATTGTGTAGCTTTCATCACTCATTTGCATCAAAGACACACTGAGTAGATTTTATAATTTTGCTAGAAGTTCCACTTTTACTGAATACTGAAGTGTGAAGAGGTAAAATCCAGGATGGGAACCAGGAGGAACGGGATGTGGGTTGAGTGTACATTGTAGGAAATGAGGGCTCCATGTCAAAGGCCCTCATGTGCAGGGTGTCAGGATGTAGGAGGAGGAGCAAAACCTAGAACCAGGATGATTTCTCTTTGGAGGAAAGTGAAGACTTTTCAAATGAAGCATACCCAGTAAAGTAGAACGTAAATGACCAAGTTTTCTATTCCATGCAGCTTACTCTTCATCTCAGAGTAGTGAAAACCTGTCTAAGGCTTAAACGAGGGAGGCAGAAAGCCTTTCCTTAAAAAAGAAAAAAAATTCTGGCAAAAAAAATGTAGAAAATAAATGTGATCTAAGAGGACTTCAAAAAGTTCATAGGACATGAAGTCAAAGTACAAGTTTATTTTGGTGCAACAAAGGGAAAACATTGAAATTCAGGCATAGGTTTTTCCAGAATGCTCATTTTCCACGAACTTTTTGAAAACCCCTCATAATCCAGTAAAGTAAGGAAGATGGGTAGTGCTGCCCCTGCTTCCATGTGTCTGCAGCCTGGAAAAGTTGAAGTGGCCTGCTCAAAATAGATCCATGTTTCCAAACTGAAATCTGAACTTGTGTCTCTTTGACACGAAATAAAATACCAACCTGATCGTTTTATTAGAAGGATCACAGCTATGGTTGCTTTTGGGACAGGGACAACAGTGGCCTCCCTGAATACATTCACTTTTAAAGTTACTGTATTTGACCGAAGAGTTAATAAAATGATTTTTAAAACAATTAGTGTTAAAGGAACATTGGCAGCTGAAACTAATGGCCAGGCCATGAGCAATGCAGAGACTCGGATCACTGCCCCACTGAGGTTTATAAAAAGTAATCATCGAAGGGTATTAGTGTCTGTCATCTAAGACACAAAACAGTCATGTGTTTTACAAAGCCAGTTGTGTGAATCATGTGCGTGTGTGTTTTGTTTCCCATGTAAATAGAATACTCATCTGGGAAGACGGGAGCTTAGAGATCAACAACATTACAAGGAATGACGGCGGTGTCTACACCTGCTTTGCAGAAAATAACAGAGGGAAAGCAAACAGCACGGGGACTCTTGTTATCACAGGTAAGAAACGATTCGATTAGTATTTTGTTTTTAAATTTCAATACAGAAATTCTAATCAACTGAAAGGCATGTGGTTCAGCACTCCGTTTCTCAAACAGCCCATATGTTAATACATTTCCATTCCAAAAGCCTTCCGGGCAAATCTCTTGCTTGATGAAATTGTTCCTGGAGTTCAGATATGAGAACCTCTTCGTTCTTTGCACAGAGAAATGAAAATATGTGCCTTCTTTTCGTGTATGGCAGAGACTATGGCATGTGGTATTTTCTTAAATTGTACCTTACTCTTTTATTTAAAAAAATATGTAGATCCCACACGAATCATCTTGGCACCCATTAACGCCGACATCACAGTTGGAGAAAATGCCACCATGCAGTGCGCCGCGTCCTTCGATCCTGCCTTGGACCTCACGTTCATCTGGTCCTTCAACGGCTATGTGATCGATTTTAACAAAGAGAACATCCATTACCAGCGGAATTTCATGGTATGTGTTTTAAGTCTCATCTTGTTAACATATGACAAGTCCTATCTCTGCATCAAAATGATTTTCTATGCTTTTATTTTTTAAGTTTATATTATAATGAGCATGCATGCATGTGCATACACACAAGAGAGAGGCAGGAAGGAGGGAGGGAGGGGGAGAGAGACAGAGAGAGAGAGAGAGAGAGAGAGAGAGAGGAAAGCATCCTCAGGAGGGCCTCATTATGCTGCCGCCTCCTTCAGCTAGCACACTGCAGCTTCCTGGGATTGTGGGCCTGTGCACGGGCACCCAGTGTGTTTCAGGTTGACTGACAGGGCTAGGGATCGGACTCCACCATCAATCCCGTGACTTCCAGCTCTGCAGTTTAGTATTCTACTGACTGGGCCACAGAAGCTGGACCCGCTTTTATTTTTATTTATTTATTTTTTAAGAATCACTCACTTATTTATTTATTTATTTATTTATTTATTATTATTATTATTTAACTTGACCAGAGAGAGAGAGAGAGAGGAAGAGAGAGAGAGAGAGAGAGAGAGAGAGAGAGCAAGCACGCCGCTA